TTTTTTTTTTTGCTCCATTACTTATGATCGCCACTGTAAAAATAATAATACTGATCAGATAAATATTCTATAGTCAACTTGCCATTATTTGCAAATTCGCAAATGAGTGATGACAGGGGAAAACTAGACTTTGGGCTTTCAAGTTTATTATTTATTATTTACTAGATTCGGCCATGAGATATGTATGATATGTAAGTAAATTTAATTACACATAGATTTTTGCCAGTTACGGATGTCCAGTAAATAATAAATAATAAACTTGAAATCTCGAAGTCTGGTTTGCCAAATTATAAAACCTGGGTTTAAGAGTTTGAAACTAATATTATTTTTCATAAGTTAAAGTCAGGTTTAATTGGGTTTAACATATGAAAATAAAATCGAGTTGAAACTAATATTATTTTTCATTAGTTAAAGTCAGGTTTAATTGGGTTTAACATATGAAAATAAAATCGAGTTGAAACTAATATTATTTTTCATAAGTTAAAGTCAGTTTTAATATAAGAAAGGTTTGAAACTAATATTTATTTTTTATAAGTTAAAGTCAGTTTTAATTGGGGTTTAACATATGAAAATAAAATAAGTTTGAAACTCGAGGCTGATGCATAAATTAAAGTACTTTTTTTTAACAATTAATAGATTCGGCAATTAGCATTACAATATAAAGAATAGTACGTATGTACGTACGTAGGACAATCGAAGTTTCACTGGAAGGGTACGTGCCTTATTAGAAATTGGTCTAGATCAAATTACCATATTTTATAAACCAATAAAGCATGATTAAGTTTATAATCGCATAAAAATTTGCATATTTATTTGGAGATACAAATAATGAATTAAAAAGGATTAGTGATGTTGTGAGCATCAACAGTTAGTTTAAATCGAAAGCAACCAAATTCAGTTTAGCAAGAGGAACCGTTTCTAACGATAGACTCAAAATATAATAAGGGAATTTGAGCCAAAATTTTTAATACGTACAAAGATTCGCTCAAAATGAATTTTGTTGGTTACAAAAAACGACAAATTTTTTTATGTACGTATCAAGATAAGAACATATCTATCTGTTGACTGTCGATATAGCCAATATTGGATTTACATATTCACATGTTCAAAAAAAAGACTAATTTAGATATTCCTTAATTGATGGAGAAACATAGATTGTAATGACGTATTTTTTTTGCTTAAAATCGTTAAAATCTAGTTTTCATTACCGTTACACAAACGTCATAATATTAATTCACGTGAACAAAAATTTAACAATTCTGGTGTTACCAAGAGTAAAGTACATTTATTCAAATATATATTCTAATATAATAATATACATTATACAAGAGAAACAAATTAACTTTATAATAATAAATTGTTCTAAGTTGTTGAAAATATAATCCCTCTCATGACCTTGACCATTTTTTCACCAACCACCATGTGTTCAACTCGACTAACCCTTGAACCTTTAACTAGACTATCTTCACCCATAACTTGATCATAATCATCAAATTCATCATTCATTTGATCATCATTATCATCACATCGAATTTCTCGTAGATGCATTAAATTTGAAATATTACTTGGTGCCCATAAATAATTACACAAATTTTTTTGTTCTACCGGAGATAATATTTCCTTTAATAATATAGATAATGGATCATCTAATGATTCATGAAGTATTATTGATGACGATGATAATTTATTATCTTTAGTTGATAATGATTTTGTAGTATTGTTAATTACGATCGACGAGTCTTTATTTAAATTAGATGAATGAATGTGTAAACTATGGAAATGTGAATGTTCGATTTTAATCACATTTAGGATACGAAGTGCGAAGTCAAGACATTGAGGGGACGTAAGATGTTTCGATCTACCAAGTTGATTAATTGATCCAAAGACAGAACTAAAATGTTTAATGAATGGGAAACATCTATTATCATCTCTGGCTTCAAAAGGGAATTTTGCGCATAATCGTTTTGAAGATATTGAATATGATTCAAATTTTGATATCCATGTGTTGAGTAATTGAATATTATTAAATTGAGATGGAGGTTGCGATAATACGGGAAAAGGATGAGATGTATGAGATAATACT